AAGATTTGGAAGTTAAGTAGAAAGACAAACATCTTTCTCATTTTTTAAACAGTGGCAAAACTAAGGATGAGAATTGATCGTTACAAAAATTAATATCATGCTGTTGAATCCTGATGATCACACAAGCCTTTTGCCAAGAAGTGCAATGTGGTCTTGGCACTGAATGGAAGTTGGATCTGAATTTCTACAAACTTCAGCTAAAATTGGTCAATTAGCAAATCTTTGCACCACAATTCGTTTAGCTTCCACTTAGAAATCCATTCTGTACGTAAACAACAGATAGCACTGAACAGAAACATATAGTTTGGAAGGAAGGGATTAGAATACTAATGCACAGTTGTTTCTGAGAGACATTTGGCAGCAGAATTGGCTGTGTTAAGAATATTAAAGGAGAATGGTGCCAAGGGATGTGAAGGGCTGACATTTTTTTTATGTATTCTACAACTTCAATATTTGACAAAAGCCATGCCATGGGAGAATAATCCTTATCTGAAAGTCTCCTTTGCAGAAACTAGGAGACAAACACTTTATATCCCACATTAGGCAGAAATACTCCATCATTGTCAGTGGCAGGCTATGAGATTCATGTAGAGCATGGCTATTACTTGATGTTGACTGCCATAAAATGAACCCTTTAACAGAACGAAGGTTGCAATTAGCCCTGAGACAAAGAACATTCGAAAATCGTGAATGGAAAAGGTCACTAGGTTCATCAGCAATGGACTGTATGCAATTGCAATTGTCAATATCTAGTAACCATCTGAACTAGTTGTTTTCTGCAGTGCCCAGAAATCCAGAGGATGATATCCATCATGGACCAGTATGAAACCCACAAAATCAGTATGAAACCAGATCAAGATCTTCTGGTGTACACTGGTTTTGATCTGGTCAGATCTGGATTGGTACTGGGGTGACACCTGTATTTATCTGAAATCCAGCCCCAAGTAGTTTTTCATGACTTTTCAGCACAGACACAGATTACTTCACACTAAATGCCATATTGTCTCACTGTGTCACCCATTTGAGCATTACGGTCATCATCTCATTAATTTTTTTTGATTTTTATACAACTTCTGACCACTCAGACTCCCACCTCCATAGTAATCCCACCATTCTCCACCTTGACACCCCATCCATACAATCCCTGTCCCCACCATTCTCCACACTCACAGCTCCCAATTCCCACTCCCCACCCACACACTTCCTGTCCCTACCAATCTCCACCCCTACAACTTCTGACCCCTCCCTGAATCCCTACTCTCATAGGCTGACCAATCCAATACTCAGGCTCACAATTCCCGTGCTCCGCAAATTCCTCGCAGCTCCTGAACCCACAATCCCCACCCTCACAGTTCCCACCTGTGACTCTTACAGATACCACTCAATTGCACTGTTTTTCTCTGCAGTGGGTATAAAATGGGCAGTGGCTCAGTGTCAGCAAAGGTTCACGCGTGCCTCTGAGTCAGAAGTTAGTGAGTTCAAATCCCACTTAAAGACTCAAGATTACAATCCAGCCTAGTGAGTGCAGTGCTGAGGGAGTACTTCACTGTTGTGGGTTCCACTTCCTGGGTGAGACACTAACCAAGGACCTATCTACTCCCTCAAATGGGTGTAATTGTCCTTAATGCCCTAGCCAATATTTACCCCTCAATGAGCCATAAATAATCTGGCGATTACCTCATCACCATCTGTGGGAGCTTGCTGTGTAACATCTGCTTGCAGCAGTTCTCATATTACACTTCAAGAAATGTGTCATTGATTGTAGATCGCTTTGGGCAGCACTGTTCGTGCATGATGCTTTATAATGCAAGGGATTCAACATTTATATTAGCAATACTAATGGGACTTTCCAAGAATGTCCAAATTGAGGCCTTGGGGTCAATGCAGCTCCCATTCTGGTCAATTCAACCCGCAAAGCCCAGGCACCTTGTTGTGATTTTACTTGTGTATGTCAACAGGGAGTCTTCTCTTTATTTGTTCATTGTATAAGCTAGCATTTATTGCCCATCTTCAATTGCCCTGGAAATGGTGGTGGTGAGCTGCTGTCTTAAATCATTGCAGTGGTTCAGTGGTTAGCACTGCTGCCTCACAGCACCAGGGACCCAGGTTCAATTCCAGCCTCGGGCGACTGTCTGTGTGGAGTTTGCACATTCTCCCTGTGTCTGTGTGGGTTTCCTCCGGGTGCTCCGGTTTCCACCCACAGTCCAAAGATGTCCAGATTAGATGAATTGGCCGTGCTGAATTACCCACTGTGGTCAGAGAGGTATATTGGATGAGTTAACCATAGGAAATGCAAGGTTACAGGGATGGGGTAGGGGGGGTTGGATCTGGGTGGGATGCTCTTCAGAGGATTGGTGTGGTCTTGTTGTGCCAAATGGCCTGTTTCCACACTGTAGAGATTCTAAGAGTTCCTTGAGGTGCAGGTACATGCACACTGTTGTTAGGGAGGGACTCCAGGATTTTGACCCAATGACACTGAAGGAACAGTGAAGTTTTCCAATTCAGGGTGGTGAGTGGTTTGGAGGGGAACTTGCAGGCGGTGATGTTCCCATGTATCTGCTGCCCTTGACCTTCTAGATGGAAATGATCATGGGTTTGAAGGTGCTAAGGAGCCTTAGTGAATTGCTGCATATACCTTGTACATGGTCCACATTGCTGTTACTGAGCATCAGTGGTGAATGGAGTGAATTTGTAAGTGATCAAATTGGCTGCTTTGCCAAGGGTAATGTCAAACTTCTTCAGTCGAGTTGGAAATGTTCTATCTGGGCAAGTGGAGAGTATTCCATCACACTCCTGACTTGTGCCTTGTAGATGGTGGACAGGCTTTGAGAGACACAAGAGGTGAGTTAATCACCACAGAATTCCTAACCTCTGACCTGCTGTTTTAACTACAGAGATTAGATGGCTAATACAGTTCAATGTCTGGTCAATAGCAACTCCCAGGATGTTAATAATGGGGATTCAGAGATGGCAATGCCATTGAACCTCAAGGGCTGATGATTAGATTTTCTCTTGTTGGAGATGGCCATTGCTTGTCACTGCGTTGCACAAATGTTACTTGCCAGATCTTGCTGCAAATGGAAATTGGCTGCTTCAATATCTGAGGAGTCATGATGGTGCTGAACATTGTGCAATGAGTACCCCAATTTCTGACCTTACGATGCAGGGTAGTGAAGGTCATCAATGAAGCAGCTGAAGTTAGTTGAGACACTGACGGCATAAACCCCAGCTCCATGTAGACCAGCATTTTGATAACCACTTTTACCTTACAGCTAAGCTGGTTATTTTGCTTGACTAGTAATTTAGACACCTGGACTAATGATCAAGAGACATGGAGTTAAAATCTCACTACGGCATCTGGTAAATTAAAATCCAGCTAATGATTATATCTGGGGTGGTGACTGTTTAACCACTAGATTGTCATAAAGACCCATCTGATTCACTAACATCTTTTAGAGAAGGAAACCTGCCATCCTTACGTGGTCTGGCCTACCTGTGATTCTAGGCCCCAGCAGTGCCTGGAAATGCCGAGGATGCCACTTTGTGATGGACGATAAATACCCAGCAACACCCATGTACTCTGAATTAATTTAAAAGCAGCCTCATGTTGAATGCACACCCAAAAATAGTAGCATATGAAGAGCCCTAAACTCAGGCTCCTGACAGAGGGAAGGTCACTGACGGAGCAAATGAAGGCATTTAGGCTGAACAAGACTCTGTGGAGAACTCCTCCATCAATATCCTGGGGTTGTGATGACTCAACTTTTAGGAACCACATCCATCATTCTTCCTTTGTGTCATCTATGACTCCAGCCACTGAACAATTTCAATGTTGATGTCAGTCTTGCGACAGTTCCTTGTTGCCAAGCTCTGGTTGAATGCTGTCTTGTGCTTACAGTCATCTCTCCTCTGGCATTCAGCTCTTGTATCTCTGTCTGCCTCTAAGTTGTAATAACGATTTTTTTTTCCTCTTGATTTTATTGAGTTTGTGAAGGGGCATTGGTTTGGAAAAAGAGTACTCCCTTGCTTTTCTTCAAATATCGCCCGAAGATCTCGAACATCAAATTGAGCAGGGGTGGAGAAATATGGAGCCTTCTCCTGCAGTAGGCTGTGTTATACATCCCCCAATTTTACTACAAAATTGGAGTGCCTTCAACTCTCAATGACCTCAGCTCTGGAATTTCTTCCATAAATTCCTTCACAATACCACTAATATTATCTCTTTGGTAAAGCCCTAATATCTCATGTGGCTTGTAGTTTGATAATTTGAGGTTTTGGAGTACATTTGTAGCTCGGGTTGTGGGTGTTGAGGTTGGTTGGCTCACCAAGCTGGTTTCTTGTTTCGCTTTGCGAAATTAGTTTGATAATGTTTCTGCAAAGTGCCTTTGGTTGTTTTACTGCATTGAAGGTGCTAGATAAATGCAAGTTATTGTCAATGTTAGGGCAAACATGCTTTAAAGACTGTGACCAATAAAATTTCTATTAGGTAAGGGTATGAAGTCAGACTATACAGTTAAGCTATTATTCAATGACCTGAGTGGGGGGAGCAGGCAACGTGAGAGGAGGTCAGTTACAGATTAATGCCTCCCCCTAAAGGACGGTCCCTACAGCAAAATCACACTCCATCAGTAATGCACTGGAGTTTTCTTTCAGATTCATTTATGGGGTGTGTGCACTGCTGGCTAGGCCAACTTTTGAAACGTTACTGATTGCTGTGAAGAAGCTGGTGAAGAGTCAGCTCCTTGAACCACTACAGTTCTTAGGATGTTGGGACACTCACGGTGCTATAAGGAAGAAAGTTCTAGGATTTTGATCCAGTAATACTGAAGGAACGTTGATTTCGAGTGTGAGCTGAAATGGAGCTCTTTCTTAATCTGGTGACAAAGGTGCTTACAATGGAGGTAAACAGACACGATTATTATCCTTACAAAATGATATTAACAATTTTCAGTATGTGTAGATGTATTTTTTTGTACAGTGCAAAGAATATTTCAGATGACTTCAGGCAGAACATCTTTATTATTTTGTTCTTCCTGCCAATTTTCTCTGGCAGTTTAAATATCTTAATAATGGATTCCAATAAACATCAATCTGGAAACATTAATGGAGCTCCAGAAATTACATTGGCTCAACAATTACTGTAGATCTGAACACAGCTATAGGCAGTGCTTGGCTCCAACAGAGTCAGACAGATATGTGAGACAGAGTTTATTGCAGTGAAATGGTGGAAATTGCTCAGAATTAATTAATTAATGTTGACACCAAAATGTAAGGAAGACACTTATTTTTGCAGATGCTATGGGAATGCCTAAAGGCTTATGGACTTTGGAGACAGACTGTGACCTTCATTCACTGAATAAGCACAACAGACACACGTTAATAGAAGTTTAATATTATGATTCTTATCTCAGGGTATGGTGGAGTGGGTGTTTATAGTACTGCAATAGCATTTCAGACTGGAGTTCAGAAGCATTGTGGCAGTTATAATTCAATATATGTGAAAACTGACTCTGGCTAACATTAAAAACGGCTAGGTTGCGATAAAAACCAAACTGCTTTATCCTGACTCACTTGCACCCCAGTCTGATCTAGCATAAGCACGACTTGAGTCCCAAGGGGCATGCTCAATTGAATGCTCCGAGAGATGGAATGGCAAGGTAATCAAACACCCTTTGGCTCATGAGTGTGGCTATGACAGATTCTTGGAACAAATAAATCAAACAGTAACATCCAGCAGCTGGCAAAGAGTGACATGCTAACTATTTGAACAAGGTGCATTCAAAAGTTGGTAGTCAACTGCGATAGGTTTCTAAAAAAAAATTATCAGGATGCAGTTGTCACTGGGCATTTACTGTCCATTCTCAGCACTAGCCCTTCTGAAGTGGCTGATGAACTTTCTTGAACCACTGCAAACTGTGCGGTAAAATTACTCTCACAAAGGTTGACCAACTATATGAGTGCGAGTGTTTTGCATTTCGATTTGGAGAAATGGGATTTTTGAGATTCATTCTCATCAGACTCTTAATCTCTCTCATTACCTTTTTAATCCCATAATGGAGCAAAGTCTCCATTGTCTTAATGGACCATAGGGCTGCTCTCTCATTGGAGACAGACAACTGGTAGTGGCTTACCTGAGGGTCACCATACATTGGGTGAGGGGAAGAGACAGAGCATTAACAACCTGAACCAGTGCAGGAATTGAACTCATTCACTCATCACTCCGCATCACAAACCAGCCAACTGAGCTAACTGACCCCCTGTAGGAGGGCATGAAGGTCTTTAATGGCAGGTGTAGAGCCATTTAAAAAGGGGCATCACTATTTTTCAAAACACAAACTCCAGAAATTGCATCTCATCTTTCTTACTAGGCACTTCGCAGACGTTCAATAATAACATTGGACATGGACCTTATTTAGACCTTAATCACCGCTGTCATTTTCTTTTGTCAGACAGCTGGTAACGCAGGATGGCTCAGCAACACCACTAGAAGTGACAGAGGTGTGTCACTTGGATACTCAGGGTGGGGATCCCCTTCCATTCCTACAGCTGCTGGAAGAGTCAGAGTTCTGGGTTCCATCCAACTTTCCCTACCACGTACCCTTCTCTTTGAATGATTTTTAACACTTTCTCCACCTTCCACTATTCTCCTACAACTGTTTATACCTCCCCTCGTTCCTTCTTACATCCTTTCCCTAATTTGTCTTGTGCCACTTTTCCTTTTTGCTATTTAATCTTGCTCTCCACAATACCAGTCAGCTCAGATTACCCCTTTAGCCCGTCCCTGCATTTGTTCATAACGCTCTTTGCCTCCCAACATCTTCCGGTTCTGATGAAAAGTCATTAGCCTGAAATATCAACTCTCTTTTACTCTTGACGGCTGCTACCTAACATGCCGACTGATTTCCAGTATTTTGTTTTTAATTTCCAGCCTCCGCATTATTTTGCTTTCGTTTCCACCACTTTTCCCCCCGCTGCTGACACAGCGACAGTGATGACAATAATTATCTTCAATTCATATGAACGTATCGAACTGCTGAGGGAGGCAAAGTGGCAGCTAGGAACAGCAGCAGCAACAGCAGAAAGCTCATTTGTTTTAAATGCTCCAGCAGATGGTGGCTTGGCTGCAAATTGGATCTAATGATGCATTTAAAACGTAGAATTGCATCGAGAATCAGTTCTGCAACGGTGCCTTGGGCCCCTGATGCGGCGAAAATAACCCCTATTGATATCACAAGGTAGGTTTGATGACAGCTAGAATGACACATACACTTGTGATTCAGAACATGGCCACTAACCATTTCCAGTACTCCAAGAGAGAGACAGAGAGGTTTAGGGAGAGTTTGTCAGAGGCTAGGTCCCAGGCAGCTAAAAACAGAACAGCCAAAGGTGGATTGATTAAACAGTGCATGTAAAAATTGCCCACTGTGGGTATACAGAGATCTCACTTTGTTACAGGGCTGCAGGCATGGGGATTGGTCAGAGAGGAATCTAAAAACAATGATGAGAAAGCTACAATTGAACCATTGCCAGAATAGGAGCAAGGGCTACATTTCAAAGATGTGTAAGGAACAACAAGCCACTTTGTGGCATTCATGACCATCTGCCCTTGTGGTGCTGTATTGCACTCTCTCTTCCTCTCTTTACAGGCGCATTTGTAATAAATTGACAATAAATTGGATCAAAAAGCCAAGTTGATTTGGGCCCAGTCTCCCTTTGACGTTCAGAAAACCAACCACTACGAACGAGGACCTTGCCCCACAAGGGTGATTTTCAAACTGCAGCCAGTGCCCAAAAGGAAGAATCCGTCTCTTTTTGGACTATAACGGTCAGGTACAAGCATTCTCACAGAATTTCATACTTGCTTTATCCAGTTTAAATTTGTCAGCCTGTGGTTTTAGGAAAGGGATATTTTTGGCACTTCGATTTATTGTTGAATAAATTCTCAATCAATGCACTAGGATCAGTTAGTGTCTGCAGTGGAAGTTTGGAATTTTTCACGCCATACTTAACATATGACACCCAAAACTGCAGGGTATGTCTATGTGTCCACACAGTAGGTTTATAATTCCTGGTTTTATTGTGGAAATTAGGCAAAGGGAATCTTGACAAGCATCTGTGTGCATGCGAGTGTGCGCAGGTGTGTGTGCGAGTGTGTGCGTGCATATGTGTAGCCAGTTGCAGTGACCTGGTCAATAATATGCATCATTTAATTCTTTCCTTTTCCCTCCAGGGAACCTGCCGTGTAAGGTTGGGTTCATATTTCCAAATGGTTACCTTGTACCTTGCCCTGGATTTTCACAATTATGTCTGTTGTAGGACAAGAAAAGACAAAATTCCAAAACAGACTAAATTCTGCAGGGAATTAAGTTAGGCTTTGCTTGTCTGCAATGATTTATTTGCTACATGATACCCACATCTGCCAGGCTCCACTATTACCTTCTCACAACACAATGCGACAATGTACCTGCTGCAACCATTCAATAGACAGACACTTACAGCAATCAGGGGATCAGGTTAAACAGGAACAGCACTCTGGTCTCTGCATTTTCATTTTGAGTCTAGTCTGGATGGACTATAACCTTGAAAACAGCTTCCCTGGCCTGTTGGCCCCAAAGGGTCATCCACAAAATACATGTGGCCAATCTCAATTCCGACCAAATCAAAAATCAAAAGGCAATCTGATTTGGGGAGCATAGAATGACTGAGGCAAGGTATGGAAAATAAAACATCAAAAAGATGCAGTATGAAGGTATTCTCTTGAGGTGCAGTTCTCTAAATGGACCTTTACCTTTGACCACATTATACTTGAACTGGAAGTTGATTTGAGCAAACTGGAAAATGTTCCATTTTTAACATGGACATGTCACCCCGAGTCAAGAAACATTCAGCAGGAATTTATCACTGCAAATATTTACTGTGAAAGTCCAGCAAGACTTTTGAAAAAATGCAAGGGGCTTACGGTGTGAAAACAGGTCTTCACTTGCAGGCACGGATATATCATCACAACTGTTCCAGCAGGATGTTCTTGTGAGGTCACATCTTAGCTCCAGATAAAAAAAATGAGGATATAGATCCCCCAGTGAGAATATAGCATGCCACCAGTGACTTAACTGGTGAGTTGAGTTTGTCTCGCTGTCTGTTCAAGTTGTGCTGCAAGACTCATCTGGTGGGGGAATATTATCCCGGAGACACGCTCATCCAACACTCCCATGCTCTTACGAAAAGTTAATGGTGCCAGAACAAGAATAGAATCCCGAACTATCAGTGGAGAACCTCTGGGAGATGTTCACAGAGTTCAACTCCACTTCGCCAAAATGGTAATTTTCACATTTCTGCAATGGAAAATAAACAATTACTATGTGGTACTACAAAAGCGAGTCATTTATCTCTGTGTGCACTTAAAATCTATTTATTTGGTACAATATGGTGTGAAGAAAGAAAAATAGTCCCACCCGAAACGAGAACTCTGTGCAACTATCCAAGTTACATGATCAACACCCAACAGATTAGCTTGACATTCGAATGCAATACTGAGGGAGTGCTGCAATACCAGAAATGCCATTCTTTCTGATGAGGTGTTAAACTAAGGCCCTGTCTGCAATCTCAGTTAGACACAAAAAATTCCATTGAAAAGAACAATAGGAGAGTTTCCGTGGCCAATTTTTATTCCTCAATTAACATCACTAAACACAAGTTGACTGGTCATTAGGGATGGCCAACAAATGCTGGTTTAGCCAGTGACATTCCATGAACTAATGTTAAAAAATAAGATAAGGCTATGTGATTTCTTGCAGGAACTTTGCATGCAAATTGGCTGCTGTGTTTCCTGCAGTACAATAGCAAGTGATTTGATGAGAATTGGCTGCAAACCATTTTGGGATGTTGAGGTATTGAAAAAAATGCTACATATCCTTGTATCTTATAAATCCTTACAATACTGAACAAATAGAAAGTCATCAAGTTTGTACGGCAGATATTGGGAATACAGCTTTAACCGAAAGGCATTCAAATAGAGCTCCACAGGATAATCCTTGGAGGTTCATCTCCTGCTCTGATTTCTATTTGTCTGATGGCAAACACACAGCACATGATGAGCAGTGTCTGCAGAATTTGTATTTTGCTTGTATCTGTTGAATTACAAGGGTATCATTCCTCTTGCTCTTTGCTAATAACAGCAATTTTCACAAAGACAGCAGTTTTCTCTTGAGTTGTTTCTTTTGGAAGAGAGGTCAGAGGGTCTGCAAGAATACATCAATATTTTCAAAGGATCCTTTACCTTACAATAGAAACAGTGACTTTAACAATTACACTATTCAACCCCCAAAACCCTCATTCGGTTACACATGAACTACTGCAATTCGAGGTTTGATCCTTCTCCTGCTAAACTGGAATCTCTCACACTTCACATGTCAGGCAGCCTGAATGGCCTATCTTACTGTGTTGCTCATAAATTAAGTTGGTGCATTTATCTTCACTCTAAATAAATTGTAACATAACATGACACATGGAAAAAGAAACAGTGTGTTCTGTGTAGTTCTGGACTCCTTATTTAAGGAATGATATAAATGCATTAGAAGCAGTTTGTAGAAGGTTCACTCAATCGATATCTGGGATGGAGGTTTATCCTAGGAGAGAAGATTGGGCAAGTTGGTCTCTTTTCCATCAGAGTTTGGTAAAATGAGAGGTGATTTTGTTTAAACCAACCAAATTTTGTGATGACTTGACAAGGTGGTTATTGAAAGAATGTTTCCCCTTGTGGGAGAGACTAGATCTAGTTGAAAGATCACAGGGCTCCCACTTATGATGGAATGGAATTTCATCTTTCAGAGGTTCAAGGGTCTTTGGAACTGTTTTCCACGAGTGGTGGAGATGGAGTTACTGAATATTTTAAGATAAAGGTTGAGAGTAACAAGAAAGGTACTGTGAAGTTGAGGTTCCAATCAAATTGGGCTGGCCTTCCTGAATATCAGAAGGTTGGCTAGATGCGAGTTTGTGATGCAGCATGATGCCAGTGTGGTTTTAATTCACACACTGGCTGAGGTTACTATGAAGGACTCTCCTTCTTACCCTCTCCCCTTCCCTGAAGTGTAGTGACTCTCAGGTTAAACCATACCAGTTGTCTTTCTCTAGAATCACAGAATCACCACAGTGCGGAAGCAGGCCATTCAGCCCATCAAGTCCACACAAAACTTCTGAAGAGCATCCCAACCAGACCCACCCTAACCCTGTTACCCTGCACTTCCCCATGACCAAACCACCTAGCCTGCTCGTCGCTGAATGCTAAGGACAATTTTAGCATGGCCAATGCACCTAACCTGCACATCTTTGGACTATGGGAGGAAACCGGAGCAAACCCACACAGACACAGGGAGAATATGCAAACACCACACTGACAGTTGCCTGAGGGTCGAATCGAACCTGGGTGTCTTGTGCTCTGAAGCAGCAGTGCTAACCGCTGAGCCACCATGCTAAATGAGAGAGCAGCCCTATTGGTAGGACTATGGTGATTTTACCATTACTGAATGGCACAGCAGGCTAGGGGGCAAATGGTTTACTTCTGCTTCTAATGCATTTGTTCATTTGTGTAATGAGCTTGGTTTAAAAGAAAAGATTCACTCAATTATATTTTAACAAATTATTTTAGCTTTCTTAGTCAACTTAAAAATTAAAGTTACTCCATTGGAGACAACATATGAAACAAATTTATTTTAGTGACAACTCCCCTCCAATTTTGGGAACAATGTTTTGGTAAGACCATTTTAGGGCTCTGAAGTTAACCAAATAGGGGCTGAATCAGATTAGCTAGTCACAAACCACAGTTCATACTCAGCAGATCACAAATTCTTCAGGGCAAAGTCTCTCATGTTATACCAACCTACCTAAAATGTTATAACGAGCATTTCAACAGTCAGAAATTATGACGTGGTAGCAATATTACAGAAAAACTGAATGTCTTACAATGTGGGTGAGTTGTGACAGCTTACTATATTAAAGCTACCAGTTATGGTGCAAGGGGTTAGACAAGATGTTTAATGAATTCTCAGAAATCAAAAGAGATTAACATTGCTGGACAGCTGCTTCTAACTAAACTGCCCCCCCATCAGCCATGAAACTTTATTTTTAAAAAAAACCCTAGATCACTCAGCATTTATTACTCATCTTTAATATTCAAGTCGGTCATCCAAGTTCAGTCAAATGGGGGCTCTTGTAATTTTAGAACATTAATACTATCTTGTCACCAGGTCAAAGCAGCTCAATAAATTAATTACTTTACTGAGTACACAACCTATTGTGCTGGGTAATATGGAAAGTCTTTTCTAGTCTAAATGATAAATGGTACTCCTGGAAAAGAGAAAATGCAATGACAATTAAGCTGCTTGTGGTGCTGAGGAGCTCAAACTCAAAAGCACACAAGTTAAAATGAGGGTTTACAAATTTGATCTTAAGAGTCATATTTGACTTGAAACATTAACGTAGTTTTTCTCTCTCCACAGACACGGACAGATGTACTCAGTCTTTCCAATGTTTGCTCTTTTGGCCAGGTGGAACTTGCTCACCCTAAAGGCTTCAGTATTAATTATTAAGGAAAGATATGGAATCTTATGAGATAAATAGATGAGATTTTGGAGAATTAGGGACATTGCATGGAAAGGGAAGGACTCAGATTCAACAGCTTCTGCTGTTCCAAAATATCACACTGTTTTCACATTGCCCATTTCCGACGGCATTTCTCTGTACAAGGAACACAAATGTTCAATTTAATTCTGTACCTTTCTTCCCCACTGGTTTAATGAGATTGACAGAGGATATATTTTTTAAAATAGAAAATGCAGGTTAACAAGATTCACCTACAGCAGCAGCAGAAAGAAATGAACTCCTTGTCTCAGCTGCTATTTCAGCACAGAATTGTTTAAACTCAATGGCACTTCCTGCCAAGGGCTGAGGCGCCTGAGAAAATTCAAAGCTGATTGTTCCAGGTCTGTTGTCGTCAATGTGGGGCCACCCATAGGGGACAGCAAATATCACACCAGAGGGAGCCTCATCACCAGGCCTTCCTCAAACAACTCAAATGGGTACACACTTGCTTTTTTAATGCCTGCAATTGCTTTGATGGAATACACACTTGCCTCATTAAATGCAAAAGAATTCGCTCTCCTGCTGTCCTAATACCATGGTGAATGCATGTCATACAAAATAAAATCTGTTTATCGATTTGTAAAATCTGGTGCCTTGTGGGCATTTATCACACCTCAAAGTGTCATGCTTTTAAACTGGCTGTCTCAAATCTCAATCATACAGCCACAACCAAACAAGTACGGAGCAAAAAAAACAAGTAGCATCTTAAATCAACATTAGTAAGATGCACATTGCTCCCAATATATGCTACTTTACGGGAATTCAACTTGACGGCTTCATAGATCAGATTGATCACATTACACTGTATATTATTTGGTATATATTTTTGGTCCCTTTCAACACAGTATCACTTGGATGAGAAGGAGCAGGTTTTAAAAATAAAAAAATTTCATAGGACACAGGGACTGTTTGCAGGACCATTTTTGTTACTAACCCCTCATTGTTGTTGACAAGATGGTGGTAAGATTAGTTTGTGAACAGTTGCAGTCCATCTGGTGTAGGTAACCCACTGTGCCATTGGGGAATGAGTTCCAGATTGGTGAACCAGGGAGTGAAGAAACAGCAATGTAGTTGGAAGTCAAGATGAAGTGTGGCTTTAAGGAGACTTTGCAGATGGGGGTGTTTCCACGCATCAGCTGCCCTTGCCCATCTAAGTGGTTTGGAAGGTGATGCTGATGGCACTTTGGTGCGTTGCTGTAGTGCATCTTGAAGATGACACACACTGCAGTCACAGTCTTGGATGGTGAAGGAAATGGAAGTCAAATTTGCTGCTTTGTTTTAGATAGTGTCAATCTTGAGGCTTGTGGGAACCAGGGCACCAAGAGGTGAGTAACTCACTGCAGAGTCCCAAAACACCAGAGATGCAAAATTTAAACAACATTGTGCTCACTGGATCATCATTACGTGGAGACAAAACAAATTACTAACTTAACAAGGTAAGAAAGCTAAATGCGACAATGCTCAATATAGTGGTGGGGCGAGAAAGATTCAGAATGGCTGAATGCAACAAACAACTTCTGTGGATGCTGATTGATGTCTAATTTGGAATCCTTTTTTGGTGACAGATCAAAAGCTGTGAATGCAGGGTACAGATAGGGAAAGTGTATTTAGCAGAGGAGCTGTGCAAAGTCATTGCTGTTCCACTGGATTCAGTGAGCAAACCAAATCACATTATCTGTTAGCAACAAGCTCCAAAAATGTCATGCTTCATTCTGATTCATGGTAAATCTCTCACAGATGGTGAACTTATCAAGAGTGTTACGCAGACTAGTGCTGACACGTTGTTCAGTGACTTTCCCCGACAAGGACAAAATTGTGCAGTGCAGTGGGGAGCAAAAATGCCTTTTGGTCAAACTACTGTGAAGGACAAGGTCCAGTAAAAATCTAAAAATATCAGTGAACAATTCAAGATTAGCTCGCAAAAAGTTGCTGTTTGCTCACTATGTCTTGATGGAACTAACGACGTGGCTAACCAAGATACAGTCTGGAAATGGATGTCACTTTCCAGCTGGTACAAAAACACATGCAGAATAACTAAAGTAGATCAGCCCACTAGAGAAAATACAAGACCACAAATCCTTTATGGGATATATGTATCACTGAAAGGATCAGCTTCCTGATTTTGACAAGTTAGGAAGTGAGGCATTCAGTTGGCCCTCTCCATTGCTTGCAGTTGTCAAACCTGCCGTAGTCAGACAACGGTGAAGAATCTAAAGACAATTCTGAGGACAGTAATTAACAATCACGAATCATGGTGTGATTCCAGTTGTGAATCACTGTCACAATACAAAAATTTGCTGATTCTCATATTGCCTCAGTTGGGTTGATCAGGGGCAAATGGTTTGTGGTATCACCTTGCTTGACACAGTGGACTTGGAGAGTAAGAGGTGACGATCATCTTTGATTTTGACTTTCCACAGATTAGCAAATGATATAAGATACTGCAGTGAACTGAAAAAAAATGCAAGACTGGGAAAGCAACCAACTGAGAATGAAGACAGATTTATAACGCAGAAAAATATGGACACAAAATCTGGAAAAACATGATTAGAAGTCAGGTTGTGCAAACAAAAGTGTACACAGATGTAAAATAACTAACATCATAGATAGCTGTAAAATAAAGGGAAATTATATTCAATTTAGTGATAAACAGGACATCATAAAATAATCTTGAATACTGCGTAAACAACATCTGAAGCTTTAAGTTCATAGATAACTGACTCTCAGTATCTCTTTCTTTATGAAAAATGCCTCATTTACTAAGTATTAAGGCAGGACTGTAACAGCTTTCCTTCAAATCCAATAGATATACGCAAGGGGATAGATAATATGGATATTCCCCAGGAGAGTTTGTCATATTTCAATGCTCATTACCTGATCTTGCAGCTGTTCTGTGCACTATTCCTTAGAGTAATTTCTAGATCTCTTACACTCATCAGGACTCTCAAATAGAATTGCACAGCTGATTGCACAGAATAGTCGATTATACTTTGGTGTTAAGGTCAAACTTTTAAAGGTTACTTTTAGCTTCATTGCCCTCTCAAAGACAAATCTCCCAAAGATGTTGGCCCTCATCAAGCAGAGATCACTACACTGGCTCAGGCACATTTGCAGGATGGATGACATACATACACACAAGGATTTTTTAAGTGGTGAGATAGCCAGAGTCAAATGATCAGGAGAACACCCAAAGGTGTGCTTGCAAGCATGACATGAAGGTCCTACACAACCATTTTCACAGATAAGAATTATTAACCAATAATGGGCAGCAGGGTGGCTCAGTGGTTAGCACTGCTGCCTCACAGCACTAGGGACCTGGGTTTGATTCCAGCCTCAGGAAACTGTCTGTGTGGAGTTGCATATTCTCCGTGTCTGTGTAGGTTTCCTCTGGGTGCTCCAGTTTCCTCCCACAGTCCAAAGATGTGCAGGTCAGGTGGAGTGACTGTGCTAAATTGCCCACAGCGTAGGCTAGGTGGGATTGCCGTGGGAAATGCAGGGTTACACGGATGGGGTTGGGGTTTGGGTGTGGGTGGGATACTCTTAGAGGGTTGGTGCGGACCCAATGGGCCGAATGGCTTGCTTCTGTACTGTAGGGATTCTAACAAAGTGAGATGACCAGTGAGTCTGGGTCAGAATGCTTCATCGTGATGATTAGAGGTTACAGTGGTTTGGCAGCAGGCACCAATACCAGAGACGTGGTAACCACTTCACAGGCAGCATTTGTGACAGAACCTTCCTGTTGTTTCCTCAGCCATCAGTAAAAACCCACCATTTGAAGGTGCCCTGCTCCACTGGATTTGGTTTGCTGCATGCCCATCATGATGCTCATCATTTCTGAATGGGGAGGATAAGCAGCCAGCAGTTGTTGTACATATCAGCAGCAACATGGACAAAAAACAAACTGAGGGCCCACAGCAGGGGTTTAGAGAATTAGGTATTAAAAAGAGGAAGACTACCAAGGTTGCAATCTCTGGATTACTTCTAGTGCCACTGAGTATAAGAAAAGAAACATTGGTCAGATGAATGTGTGGCTGATGGGATGATGTAGGAGGGGAAGGAGGACCTTAGAATTTTTGGACCACCGGCACAGCTTCTGCGGCAGATTGTACCTGAACCAGAATGGGTCCAATATCCTTGCCGGGAGGTTTGCTCGTGATGTTGAGGAGGTTTTAAACAGATTTGGCAGGGGATTTGGGCACAGAGTAGTTGTACAGTCAGGAGCAAGGCCCAATCAGATATGGAACGAATGTTACAGAGAGTACATGGGCAGTATAAGGGACACGGGAGGTCTAGAAACGCAAACTGTATCTTTTTTAGAAGTTTCAGGCGCAATGAGGATGGCGGAGGAAGGAGTAAGAAAGATGTTTTAGCAAGTATAAAGGTGATTAAATCTCCAGGATCTGATGAAATGTATCCCTGGCTATAATGGGAGGCAAGGGAAGAGATTGCTGGGGCCCTGGATATATTGAATACTCCACTGGCCACAGGCGAAGTGCAAGATGAATCATAGAATTCTTACTGTCCACACAGACCGTCCAAAGAGCATTCCACCCGGACCCATGCGCCTATCTTATCCCTGTAATCCTGCATTTCCCATGGCTAATTTATCTCGTCAGTACATCCCTGGTACATCCACCAATCTACCTACCCTGTTCATCTCTGCACTGTGGGAGGAAACTGGAGTACCCAGAGGAAACCGACCCAGACACGGGGAGAATGTGCAAATTCCACATCGACAGTCGCCCGAGGGTGGAATCGAACCTGGGTCTCTGGAGCTGCGAGGTAACAGTGCTAACCGCTGAGCCAACGTGCCACCCCGCCACCCCATGACTGAAGGATAGGTAATGTGGTTCCTTCGTTCAAGAAGGCAGCAGTGATAGGCCAGGTAGTTATGTACCAGTTAGTCTGATGTCAACGGTAAGGAAATGATTGGAAAGGATTCTGAAGGACAGGGTTAATGAACATTCAGAAAGGCAGGGATTGATCATGGATAGTCAGCACAGATTTGCTTGAGGGAGATCCTGTCTGTCTGAAAAGGTATATATTGACGAAGGTAATGCAGTTGAAGTGGTTTACATGGGCTTCAGTAAGGCCTTTGACGAGGGTCCAATGGAAAGATGGTCCAAAAGGTAAGAACCCATGGATTCAAGGCAAGTTGGCAAACATGATCCAAAACTGGCTTGCAAGTAGGAGGCAAAGAGTGATGGTGCAGGGTTGTTTTTGTATTTGGAAGTCTGTGACCAGTTGCGTACCACAGGGATCAGGGCTGGGACCCTTGCTGATTTTTTTTTTTAAAGTACTTTTTTTTTTTAAGTACACTAACAATTTAGATTTGAAAGTAGAAACTTTAATTAGCAAGTATGCAGATGATATGAAAATTGGAACTGTTTTTGACAGTGAGGAGGATGGTGTCAGGTATTGATACTGACCAGCTGGTAAATTGACCACAGCAATTTAATCCCAAAAAGTGCAAGATGATCCATTTTGGGAGATGTAATAAAGGAAGGACAATGATTCTCCATAGGGAGAACTGAGGAATGAAGGGACCTTGATGTATATATCCATAGATCCCCGAAGCTGTCAATACCTGTAGACAAGATAGTGAAGAAGGCAGGATGCTTGCTTTCATTAACCAGCATGTAGAATATAAGGAAGTCTTGTTACAACTTTATAAAAAATTGGTTAGGCCACAGATGGAATAGGGTGTGGAGTTCTGGTCATCACACTATCAGAAGGACATGATTGCATTGAAGAGGTATAGAGGAGATTCACCAGGGTGTTATCTAGGATGGAAACTCTCAGTTATGAGGAGAGACTGGATTGGCTGGGTTTGTTTTCCTTGGAGCACAGGAGTCTGAGGGGGGTTTGAGGTATACAAAGTTATGAGTGGCTTAGAGTAGATTGTGAGAATCTTTTTACCGTGACAGATGAATCTACGACCAGAGGGCACAACCTTTAGGTGAGGACGTTTAGGGGAGATCTGAGAAAACATGTTCTTACACAGAGAGAAACATGGAACACACTGCCTAAGAGGGTGGTGGAGGCAGGGACTCTCAATTTTTAAAAAGCATCCGGTTGAGCATTTAATTGTCCATAGCCTATTATGCCCTGGCATAAAGGCAGGTAAATGGGATTAGTGTAGTTTGGTGTTTGTTGGTCAGCACAGATGCTGTGGGCTGAAGACCCTGTTTCTATGCTGTATGACTCTATGACTCTAATTTCTTGAGCTCAAGTCACTGGAGCAGGAATTAAATCCAAATGTTCCAACTCAGAGGCATGATTGCATACTTTGTGTCTTTATTGGAAAAAATTATTTTGACTGCTGAACTCTGGAATAATTGTACTATAAATAGAAGCCTGCTCCAATCGAGCTTTAACAGACTTGGAGTGGTGAATAAAATAATTACTGAACCCCAAACCACTGTCAAAATCCACAAGCAGGTATTTTACCCGGGATCTATCCATTTTGCACAGCTCACTATGATATCAGTCAGAGCATAAAGTCACCTGACCAACTGGGAGCCACTCAGTATTTTTCAAGTTCCAGTTAACAGTCTATAATTGAATTTATTTTCCTGATCAGAGTTTGCTTCTAAGTTACCAACCTTCAGTACATTTCTTGCATCAAAGGACTCCCTTTCACGGAAATTCTGCTTCCCCAAAGCAGTACTGGTTCGACCTTCCACTGAAAAGAGACAAAGATGTGCATCATTCAGGGATCAACATAGTCACTACATTGTAACCACAAAATCAAAGCTTATGCATACAACTCTGAAATATCCTTGACTCACATTTATTAGTAACCCATTTGCAAACTCAGGTAAGTGTGGAATCAGTATTAGAAGAGTTGAAAGGGAGAGGACAGCCTAGTGGTATTATCATTGAGCAGTTAATCCAGGGACCCAGGCAATGTTCTGCGCACCCAGGCTCGAATCCCGCCACAGGAAATAGCCGAATTTGATTTCAGTAAAAAAAAATTTGGAATTAAGTAACCATGAAACCATTGTCAATTGTCAGAAAACCCAATGTCCTTTAGGGAAGGAAACTACCAATCTTACCTGGTCTGGCCTACACATGACTCCAAACCCACAACAAAGTGGTTAACTTTTAACTGCCCTCTGGGCAATTAGCAATGGGCAATAAATTCTGGCCTAGCGACACTCTTATCCCGTGAATTAACTTAAAACAAAGCTACCTTTTTCCACACCAAAAGTATGCTTTATAAATATATTCTATAAAGATACATCACAATTCAAATCTCAGATTACAACGTAATGCAGTTCAGTTTGTTTTCCCCAAACAGAACAGATCCGACGGGCTAAATGACCTACTTCTGCTCTTATGTCTCATGAATCACAGTATGGGGCATTCTGTAATTGTAGTCAGGCACTGCAATTATAGCTTCAATTCACAATGTACACTTTATTTAAATAATTTATTCAAGGCAATGTGGGTGTTTGGCAGCTAGGTTGACTTTTATTGCCTATTCCTAACTTCCCTGGAGAATGTGGTGGCAAGCTGCCAAACATACAGCCCAAAGGGGTTTTATTCTGGTTCTAGGTTCTCAGTCAACAATGACAAGATGGCATCAGATCGTGGTCTGTTCTCATTGGAGCATCTGCTGCAGAGACTCAAAGATGAAGTCCTGGACTTTGGAAGGTGCCAATCAGTAGCACTCAGTGACACTGGAACACACTTGGATTGATATCCCTCTTCCCCACCACCTCCTACGGACATTTTTAACTCTTGTGGGATTGGAGCGAGAGCGAAGGAGTGGGAGCACGCGAGAGGGAGAAGGGACCATGATGGAGCGAGAGCGTGAGCACAAGCAAGAGCGAGACAGCGCACGAGAGAGAAAATGAGCGAGCATCAGAGCAAGTGTGTGTATGAGGGTCTAAAGGGACTGTTCGTTGTCCAGCTGCTCCCGCATAATAACTATTTTTCACCTGTGAGCTACATCAACATAGGCTTATCATGACCCTGAAACCACTCCAAGTGCCCTCAGGGAGAGTGCATTAATCTTACCAAAAGCCCAACAGATTCAAGTGTCAAACCAGACTAAAAAAGGATAACACTTCATCAGTTTCTTTGAGGTTGAAAACAGGTAGACAACTCAATACTGACAACAGTATCCTGCACACCTGTACAACTCTAAACATCACCCAGCCTAGACTTCCTCTCTCCAGCAAACCAGAGTAAGATTATGTGCCTTATTACTCTATACTGGAGGAGCTGCTGATGGGACACAGTTTGAGGTGAGCCACATCAAACCATAACTATACTTCTTCATTACATACACATACCGCTAGAATTAATCTATGCGTCTGACCAAGGGCTGAGGTGAATCCGGAAATAAATAGAGGAACTTCTGCCAATCTCAGCATCAGCAATATGCACAAAGACAACTGTGGACGGCTGTGAGCTTGTGCACCAATCTGTAGCAATAATGGGATGGTTCCCTCCTTCTAATGAAATCTTAAACACACCTCAAAGTCTTTCTGCACCTGTCAAGACATCACTACACAAGGTATTATGGAAACAAATCAACATTTCAGAACTAATCCATGACTAGGACATGAAATGTATTGTCTGATAGGAAAATGAGAAAAAAAAATTGCCAAGATGAGGAGAAAGAGGAAGGAGTGGGATTAATTCATACTAATTTTCAAAGAATTGGCCCAGACCTGATGAGCTGAATGGCCTCTTCCTGCTCTGCGGTATTGCAATAATCCATGATTTAATACCCATAATGTTTACTTGCCTTTTCTATCTGGAAATGTTGTAAGTTCTGTGAAACATCTTTATACCAGTACCTTGAATTCTAAGAGTTTAATTATCATGGTCTACAAAGCATGTTGATCACTGCATGTTCTTTGGGTGAATAGGCGGTAGTTGATTTGGGCAGTTGGCTGGTTTATGATGCAGTGATGTCAACAGCATGGGTTTAGTTTCCACACTGTCTGAGGGTACCATGACAGACTCTCCTTCTCACCCTCTCCCCTCACCTGAGGCGTGGCGACCCTCAGGTTAAAAGACCACCAGTTGTCTCTCTCTCTCTCTATTAAGACAGTTCTCGTAGACCATAGGGTTGCTATGGCAAATTTACCTTTGTTATCATAAACATAGCATAGAGTGATGTTGAATTGGGTAAGCAAAATGAAATGGGTTGACCATTTAATACTTACCTGTTGGGTCCCTTCTGAAAAGAGTGTTCATCAAAGTAGCATGAAGCTTTACCCTGTCCCAGTCCTTCTCCATCAGTCCAGAAGCAACAAATCGCTCCATCAGTCCATCTGCAATCAGCTGCAATCTATTCACAAAGGAATAACTGGTCACAGAAACACATGAGGAAGGGGAACCAAAACCAGATTTATACTGAAAACAACAAATGCTAAAGATCACAGCGGGTCAGGCAGCATCTATGGAGAGAGAGAGCAAGCTAACGTTTTGAGTTTAGATAAATCATTACCAGAGCATTTATGCTACTTTTTTTAGGGGGGGTAGGGTGGTGTAGAGTGCTGGGGGAGAAAGGATGTTGATAATTCAGATTAAGGGATCAGAATGTGAGAATGGCAGAACAATGGTGTGTCTAGCTGCCAGACTGGAAAGAACACAGTGCACCTGGCATGGGGGAGGGGAGAGAGGTCATGGTGACAGAGAATGTAACAAGTAAAGGAAGAAATGGAGTTGTTCACAATTTGAAGATGATGAACTCACATTAAATCCAGAATGCTGTAAAGTGCGTAGTGTGAAGATGAGATGCTGTTCCTCCAGGTTGTGCTGTGATTCACTGGAACACTGCAGCATGCGGAGGACAGATAAGTGGGCATGTGAGCAGGGCGCTGTGTTAAACTGACGGCTACGGGAAGGTCAGGGTCATGCTTGCGCGTGGACCAGGTGTTCTGCCAAGCGGTCTCCCAGCCTGCGTTTGGTTTCTCCAAAGTACAGCAGGCTACATAAGATTGGAGAAGGTAAACCAGATTTATGTTTTATAACAGTAACCACACCTGTATTGTGTTTGGTCAGCTTGTGTTTCAAAGTGGGTTTTTCTTCCCACTCCGGTGGGGTCAGAAGGAGAATGGGAAGATAAGGAACTAACTGCTGTCTATTTCACCCCAAGTCTGAGGGATTTCCATCATTAGCAAGCACAGGAAAATCTCTATTTAACCACCATTTGTTGATGAGGAGGGAGTTGAGCCCATCTACGTTTCCTTGCAATTTTGTTGAATGTGACACGGCTAATAGTTTGATCCACAACACATTGCCCTTTTCTCCATAATTCCCAAGCATCATCATTTTCCTAAGTAGCTCCCTTTTAAACACTTAAATCTGGTGTCTCTACTGTCCCCTCAATTTGCTTGTAGCCAGCTCAGTTTGCATTCTAAGATAGTGATAATCTCCTTCCAGTTTTCCCCATTTATTTCATTTTCAAAAAGCAGCAGTAACCCAGCAATGAATCCTGAGTGCTATTTCTCCAATAGGTACAAAATGGCTCAGGCCAGCCTCTCTCAGACAAAATCTATCTGCAATACGAGCAATAGGAAAGAAGGAGTTATTAAAGCTTGAGTGTGCGGCTGCAGAGGTTCAACAGGCCACTATCTGATGCACTCTTGCCATCTTCACTAATTTTATTTCTTCATAACCCCGAGCACTGAGGTCCCTAAAACACCACCTACAAATGTTATAGCTCTGGAGCTGTGATAGCGATGGTGGAGACGCCAAGTTTCTTTCCATTATGTGGCTGACCAGGAATCTCTCCTGCCCTTACCACCTGTTATTGGAGTGTCCTGGAATAATTTACAAGTTGTTACTCAAGCTGTTCGGCTGCCCTATTTCCTTAGCCATCAAGTCTTGGTGTGTGACTTGAACCTTGAGATTCTGGCTCAGGGACTGATGTTTCGAACAGATATTAATGGTGACAGTAAAGTCATGACACTCACACGCAACCAAATGTCACGTAATGGTCATTTTGAGGCTGTCCACTATGCTACACGATCTCCCCAAAATGACCATTGAGAGACGTTTGGCTGTGTGTGAGTGTCTTGAGTTTTCTGTCACCATTAATATCAGTTCGAAACATAACCCTGTATTATTTGCTTAGGTCCTGGAGTGGGGCATGAACCCATGACCTTTTGACACCAGGGAGAATCAAACTAACAGAGAACCTTATTTTAAAAACAGACAATACTGGAGAAACTCAGATCTGGCTGCATCTGTGGAGAAAGAAACAGAGTTAATGTTTTGAGTCCGACAGTACTCTCCTTTGGAATGCTCCTTCACTGCTGCTGCAAAATGTCCTGAAACTCCCACCGCAACAACTCCCACCTTATGGGTGCATGCACACACACCATATAGCCTGCAGAGGTTGAAGAAGTCAGCTCAGGTCACCATTCCCTTCTCAAGGACAATGAGGGATAGGAAATAAATGTGATGCATGCATCCATCAAATAAATAAAATAAAACAAAACACACTCACAGACTGTACTCAACAATACAAATTATTCCGAATAATTCCAACCTCAGGGGGCATTCAAAAGGACATGACTAAAACAGTTCATAAAGCCATTTTTGGATCGCATGAACTTTCCTTTGTCACACTAGGAATACACAGCATACAAGTGGTGCTAAATGACTTGGCCCTTTGGGTGGCTGAGGGAACGTAAAAAGTATTTTTACACTGTCACAGGAGGGGGCCTTGCCCTAAACTACTCCAACTCCTAAATCCTAACATGGCAATCTCTTCTGGCTCAAGAACAGAAAGTGCTGGAGAAACTCAGCATGTCTGGTCAAATCTGTGGAGAGAGAGAGAGAAAAAAGGAATTCTTCTTCAATAGTCACATCAAACTCAAAATATTTACTGTTTCTCCTTTCACAGGTGCTGCCAGACTGCTGAGTTTCTCCAGCACTCGCAGTATTTTGTTCTTTTTAAATTCTCTCCTATGATCTGACTGGTGAGGATGGGCTAGTAGTGATACCATCAACCAAGTAGAAGCCTCCAGTGGGACCCCACCTGGGTTACAGTGGCACAACGTAGAATTCCCTGGAGTAGAGAGAGATTCCAATCAGTAAGGCTGTCAAGCAGTATAGCAATCAGGTCCCCTGCGTGGTTGAGAATGACTTCCATTTTCCACGTAAATAAGCAACTATAAACAGGATGTCTTTAATATCACCTGACCTGGGATCCTGACACTGGAGGGCAACTGCTGAAGCAGATTTCTGCACTGGTCAGTAATATAGTGCCAGAGCACTTATGGCCATAAGATACTGAGAGCACCATAAGAAACATAAAGAGTCATGAACATGGCCCAGTCCATCATGCAAGCCAGCCTTCCATCCATTGACTCCATCCATATTTCCCACTGCCTCAGGAAAGCAACCAACATACTCAAAGATCCTTCCCACCCCGGTTACACTCTCTTCTATCCTCTTCTGTTCGGCAGAAGGTATAGAGGTTTGAATACACGTACCAATAGATTCAAGAACAGCTTCTTCCTTTCTGTTACTAGACTTCTAAATGGATCGCTCAAATTTTAAAATAAATGTTGATCTCGCTCTCTGTGCACCTTCTCTGCAGCTGTAACATTGTATTCCTCGCTCCACCTTATTACCCTAATGCACTTCGTGTGGTATGATTTGTCTGTACTGCACGCAAAACAAAACTTTTCACTGTACCTAGGTACATATGACAATAATAAATCAAATCAAATCAAATCATATCATATCATTGACTGCTTCGCCCCCTCCCCCACCAGCACAGAATTCAGTAAATCGCAGGTGTAAAATAGTCCTCAGCTCAGCTCACCGCATTTTCACCAGTGGAAGCCGGACAAAGTCTCGTGGCACCAATAATTGCACCAAACCTCAAATGCTTGGTCCACCCTTTCTGGCAGCGCAGTCCGAGTCGTATATATTTGATGCATGAATACAATATTCAACGACAAAGTTTCCCAAACAGCTACAACATGAATGGCCGGTTGACCTGGTTTTTGGAGACACTGTTCCCTGCGGAAATGGTTGGCTAGGAATTTTTAAACAAAAAGTTCATTCATGGGATGAGGGTGTCACTGGCTCGGCTAGCATTTATTGTCCATCCCAGTTTGCCCAGACCCATTGCTGTGGGTGTGGAATCATAAAAAGGCTACACTAGGTACGGATGGCAGTTTCCTTCCCTACACGACATTAGTGAACAAGGTGGGTTTTTATAACAATCGGAAATGGATTTGTGGTCACTATTATACTCTTAATTCCAATTTTTTAAAATTGAATTCAAATTCCATCACTTGCCATGGCAGGATTTGAACCCGCGTCCCCATAACATTATCTGGGTCTCTGGACCCATTTGGAGACATTTGATTGCTAAAAGGAGAGGAAAGGGTACATTTATTTTTGCATCTATGATCTGTGGGAGAGCTGGTCTTCTTGAGAAACCACACAGGGAATGATTGAATTGTCAAGTTCTTCATCACTTACTGGTCTGTTCCATTCTTCATTTCAATCTTTCCATAAAGTACATCTACCATACTTGGGTCATCATTCATGTATTCAATCCCTTCCATTCTCACCAGGAGAGGCTTTCCACCAGTAAGGTTGCTGGAACAGAAGCATAGCGCAAGTCAGTCAGAGGATGAGCAAGCACTCAACACAAGCATAGCCACAGCAACTATTTAAAGACTGGGGTCTCCAATTTAAACAAATGAGTCATACCCCAATGGCATCAGAAACAAAATATAAACTACAAAAGGTGAGCCATGAACTGTTTAATTAGTCTTACTCAAATACTCTCCCATCTCTCTCTCACTCACACACACACACACAAAAACACACACACACAGCCAGACAGAATGAAAAGGCCATATGGCTCTCTGACCCTTACCCATCAGTACCATTGCCTAACCTTATAGATCAACTCAAACATCCACCTTTAATGATTCTTACAATATCCATTTTAATTTACTTTACACCAACTTAAATTTGCATCTTCATCTTCAACTGACCAACATTAGACTAGCATTCCAGGCTCTCCTCATTTATTTGGCTTTTATAATAAATATGCTTCAGCAGTTCATTCCTTCAACTTCATAAGGTGCCAACCTTGGACAATGCTATCACATTCAGATCAGAGTCAAACAGCCATAGGTTCCAGTCCCACTCCCAAGATATGAACACAATCCAGCGTAACACTCTAGTACACGACCAAAGGAGTGCTACAAAGCTGGAGACGCTGGTGTTTCAGATAAGATGTTAAACTGAGTCCAATCTGCGCTTTCAAGAGGGAATGCAAGACTTCTCACAATATTCGAAGAAAGCCGTGGTATCCTGGGCTATATTTATCTTGCAACCAACCTCACTTAAATGTAGACCATCAGGTCACAATTGCATTGCTGTTTGTGGGAGCTTGTTGTACAGAAACCAGCCATGTTTCCAAGACTGCAACAGTGACTAACTTCGAAAGGAAATGCTTTGGGATATCCTGAGGACATGAAAGGTGCCAGGTTAATACAAGTTATTTCTTGGCTTCTGTGATACTGCTCTCTACTCTCTCTTCTTAGCTCCTTCCTTTACAATTGAAATCTCGCTCATTGCAGTTCAGTTCACCCTCCTTAATGTATGTATAGCTCTTCAGAAGAGTGGCTGTTGATGCCGATTACCAAACTATCAAAGATGTGTGCATTCTTTAAAATGTTTTCTTATAGGTATTATTTTTGATCTAAGTATTTATAACACAAAGGTCTGACTTACCACAGTGCTACTGATAGCACTTCAATGGCACTGTCCATTCTATTCTTAATTTTCTGTCTTTCCTTTGGCAGTTATATATTCTGGTAGTTCACATACTTTGCCATTCACCCTGGCCTAATTTCCTCAGTTAGTTACTGTGCAGTGTTAGTCATGCAAATATTGAGACAGAGAGATCACTGTCGAGGTGGCTCCTCACTACACAATTTAAGGAATAGATTTCAACAAGAACCTAAGGAACTCCTCCTGCCCTGATTCAATTTTAAAATAATTCCATCTGCTCTTTATGCAGCTGTAATCTGTGATCCTGATGTAGAGTGAAATGCTGCATAAAATCAGGACAGAAAACACAGCTGCTGAAATACTCATAAAAAAAAATCCAAAACGACGTGGTCAGTGGATCAATCAAATTACTCCATGTAACTGGAGAATCACTGCATGACACAGTATGAAAGCAGGTAATTTACAAAGTTTCCCTTTTAAGTTTTCAACTATTATGTATATAAAGTATAAACCACTGCCTTGTGATGTGTCATTTAGATCTTGTGGACTCACTTTTTCAAAGTTACTTTGTTCAGTTCACATTACTGAATATCAGAATCAAGCCAGGTTCTTTGTAATAGTCTCAATGGGGACCACTGTATAATTGTAACCCTGCAAGCTACTGCAAAGAGCTTAACACTCAGACATTGCAAAACACACAGAGACATAACCCGATAACATCACATGACTGTGGAAAGGAGCCCAAATTACCGAATTTTCTTCCATCACAGTCCACTTTCACAACATTCTCTCTGCTGCCAACACTGATCGAGTTTACCTCAGGTCCATTTCAAAACCAAATCACAGGGAAGGTCTTGTGAATAGAGTGAAATCTGCATAATAAGCAATTTGGATGATTACAACAGTGGCTACCCTTCAATAAGTAAAGCTGTTTGTGTAAGGTACTTTGAAGAATCTTGAAGTTATGAAAGGTGCTACTGAAATACAATTCTTCTCTTGTTTAAAGATGCTGCTTCCACATTCCTTGCATGAAGAACTCAAACAAAGATTATTCTCCAATTTCATTCGTGTTCCTGCCTCCTGAATTTCTAGATCTCCTTCCTCATTTGAAGCATACAGCAGCTGGCATGAGCTGTGTGCTACAGCCAGGGGTGCATAATGATTTCATAAAAGCCCAGTCAGATCTAGGATGTGATCGGGGCACCCTGCCCATGTGGTTTATCATTCCATTGCCAGCCATCTGTTACTTTCTCTCTGAAGTTCCCCTATGTGTCCTTCTCCTTCAATAGTTCTTTCAAATAAAAATTTTCCATTATTCTAACTGCAAACAGAATGGTAGGACAAAATTAAGAATACAGTCACTCAAAAAGGGCCAGATGAATGCCTGTTCAGTGGCAGAAGCCACAAATAACTTAGGAAAAACATTGTGATCCCAGCTAATGTTATTACTGGACAAATCAGATCCTAGATGGAAATCTTACTTGATTGATCATATTTTATTTTCTGTTTTAGTTTTAATGAGATAGTCTTTCACTGAAACACAAATATGCAATGCTGAAGATAACAACAAAACAGAAGATTACTGCACAAAAGAAATGAAGATAAAATAGAATAAAGCTAACTATTTACATAGAACAAGAGTTTACAGATTTAGAAACACTTTGTTAAATACAGTCCCTATAACCTCAACATCACACCTTTACAGTACTCACACCAGAGAGAATTCCCTTCTCTTTCTCATCTACTGGGCTTAATTTGACAATGGCTTCAAGCTTCTGTCTTAAGAATCTAACAGCCTCATCCTCAAGTCTTCCTATGACTGAGCTTATATTTTCTCAGCTTCAAACAACCCCACCACGGTTTTAGCCAAACAGTTCTGGTCTGAAAACTTCAAACAAAACTGCTTACATTGAGGTAACCTATTTCTTAACAGTTAGAAACCATCTCCTTATTTTGTCAGGACCAACTATTTGACATATCCAGCTCCAGTCAAGACTTCTGCAAAACTGCTAAACTCATTCTGAAATGTATTTTTTTTTTGAGCTTGGGTGTTTTCCCTAATCAAAAAAAAAATCTCTGACCTTCTAAACCGAAAGCCTAAAGCATGACAGTTTACTCTGTTTGCTCGTGTTCTTGCACAACGTAAACCCCTTTATGTCCAAGGAACTCTCTCTCATACAAGAAATCACCATGGCTACAGAAATACTAACATGTTAGTCACCAAACCATTTCAGACATATAGAAATCCGTATGCCACATTCAAGATTCAAAGTAAAGTATCTAGAATAAAAGATATTAAAGTACATATAATTCCGACAACTTACATCAAATACCATTATTCAGAGTATTTAACTGAGTCTTACACATGGTAAAAAGGTGGAAATTGGAGCAGATTCTTTTGAGTTTCTCCTGCAATGCTGCTGTAATTTTGGTAAAAACCATGTTCAAGTTACCAAGACAGAGCAAAGGAAGCTGCAACTGAATTTAGTCAAAAGGTCCAGGATTCAGCTAGTGTACTACTTCGGCTTTTTAAAATAATTATTACATGGGGTGTGGGAATCACTGAAAAGGCTTGCATTTATTGCCTACACCTCATTGCGCGAGTGGCTGTCTAGGGAATTTCAGAAGGCAGTTAAGAGTCAGCCATAATGCTGTGGGGTTGGAGTCACTAGTAGGCCAGACCAAGTAAGGACAATGGATTTCCTTCCCTAAAGGACGTTAACGGACCTAACAGGAATTTTACAACAATTGATCATTTTGCATTTATCCTAACTGAGATTCGTGTTTGATGAATTTAAATTCCAACTGCTGCCATGATGGGATTTGTACTTGTGCAGCATCCCATCCCTCAACAGTGTTAACCTAGGCCTCGAGATTACTAATCCAGTGACATTACTATTGTCTTTGCAACAGTCTCCCTATAGGTGCTATATAAATGCCAGTCTTTATTTCTGTTGTGATTAAACCTGCATTGGAACTTCAGCTTAGAATTGATAGATGCTCATTCGCCACTAACTGGACCTGAACAGAACAGCAGGAGAAATAGGATTTGAAGCCTTTTGCAGCACTCTCCAGTAGACATTTAATACAGAAAATGGCGGGAAATGCCTGTAATTGCTGCAGCTCAGAGTGGACGGGCTGCATCATTCAGCTACATTGCCATTTACAAAAACAAGCAAAACTGCTATAAAAAATAAAAGTGAGGCAAAGGAATTTAAAGGTTGTAAACTTTATCTCTGAGATGGCAGATATTCACGAATAGTTGTACAGTACAATTTGGATGGCAAACATTACAGAATTTGAAAGGATGCTGTGTTGTTCTAAACTTACTGCCTTTAGCCTTACTGGGGATGATCTAATGGTCCTACCTGGCATATCTGAATCCTCTGTTATTACACAAGTAAGATATTTTTGCTTTAATACAGATTATCTCAGTTGGAGAGAGGATCCTTCTAAAGTTCTAGGTCAGATTATTACAGTCCAACTTCACCCTGATTGCTCTTGTTTGAAACCCTCTAATTATCAAGGTCATCTTGTGTCACTGTAGTCACTGTGCACTACCCCTCTGTTACCCTTCTGCTGCCTTCACTAACTCTGGCCTCTCCCAAAATCCATTAGTGAGGCATTGCTGGAGACTACTTTGCTTCAGTAGCTTCTTTTCCTGCTTAGTGCATTTAAAACTACATCTGAAGGACAGCGTCCCTGACAGTGGTGCTCCAACTCAGGAGTGGCGTTGAAGCAATAACCTCCTATCCAAGACCTGAAAATGCTACTGAGTAAACTGAAGCATCAACTGGAACCAATAACAGAAGCAAGAAACAAAAAAATTATAGTATATGAAAACATAAAGGAACGATTGAAAACTTTGCAGGTTAAGTTTAATCAGATTTTTAAAATTGCCCTAAATATTGTGAAGCATTTCCTTAATTTTGTGGTGGCAAACATACGAGAAGCAGTAGAATTGTACTTAACCTACTGCACAATTAGCATTAATTACTTCACTTCTCATTAGTGCTCATCATGTAAACCACATGATGCATGCCTAACAAACATCAATCTATGAATGCGTCATAATCTCCTGAGGGATACTGTTCCAATCTTTCACTGGCCTTGGAGCGAAACTATTTAAAGCTGCTTACTCAAGCAGGAGGTTGAACACATTGGCACTCATTTATATTCACGCCCTCTGATGACTCTCAGCAGGCTTTGTTGTTTTATTACTGTTCGCACAATAGAGAGTAGTGAATATGCAACAGCAACACCAGGATGGAGGCAAGGCATGTTCTACTATGGCACTTTGACAACTAAATACATTAAGAATTGGAATGGTTATATGCTTCATCTGCATGTGCTAGAGTTTTCTATTCTTTCTACCTCCCTCAAGCAAAATGCAAAGGATCCAACCATTGTCAACCTGGATAAAGAAGGCATTTACCAATCTTCTACCAACACCACAACTGGATGTAGAACCCAAACCTCAGGGTCCCACAGCCCCGTCTACCACTGCTTCTACTCACATAGTTCTCGGCAAGACCTGTTTCTCCAGCCTCACGAGGAACTTTCTGCACATGAAACTATCCCTTCTGCCAACAGCAAAACAACAGGGTTGGTTCTTCCATTGCCTTCTAACTACAAGCTGTAAGGACAGATTTTAATCATATTCCCTCATCACAAGTCACAGAACATTCAGCAGCACAAGTGCCTTCACTCCCTCCCATTTTGAAGCATCAGGACTGGCTGTAGGGTCTGTTTCCTGTACCACCTCCACCCAGTGTCTTAACATGTGCTGCACAGCATTGTTAAAATAGAGATTCACAGAAAAATTCAGGCAGAAAATTAGAAACAGAGTCACATGGGGAGATACCAGCATGGATCACCATTAACTCGGTCAAAGAGGTAGCTGTTAAGGAATGTCTTAAGGAGGACAAGCAAGACAGGTAGAGAGGTTGAGGTGGGGGAATTCCAGAGTTTAGGATCGAAGCAGCTGAAGACACAGCTGCCAAAAGGTGAACTTGGGATGTGCAAGGTCAGAACTGGAGAAATAGAGACCTCAGAGTTGTAGGGTTGACAGAGGTTAAAGGGATCAGGAAGGAGACTAGTTCAAAAGCCTAATTTAATGCAGGGTTGTCAAGGAGAAGGAGATGGTGGAGGAGCAGAGGGCCTTGGGGTAGAATTCAGACTATGCATGCTAATGGTTGAGCGATTATCACTGGACTGTTAATAACGTGGGTTATGTTCTGGGAACCCTGGTTCAAATCCCACTATGACAGATGGTGGACTTTGAATTCAATATAAAAAAAAATGGAATTAAGTGTCTAATGATGACCATATATCCAGTCTCAGGAAAAACCCATCTAGTTCATTAACATCCTTTAGGCAAGGAAACTGCCATCCTTACCTGGTCTGGCCTCCATGTGACTATTAACTGTCCATAAGACGTAGGAGCAGAAATTAGGCCATTTGGCCCATCAAGTCTGCTCCATCATTCAATCATGGCTGATCAGTTCCACAGCCCCATTCTCCTGCTTTCTCCCCGTAACCCTTGATCCCCTTGATAATCAAGAACCTAATCTATCTCAGTCTTAAACGTACTCAATGACCTGGCCTCCACAGCCTTCTGTGGCAGTGAATTCCATAGATTCACCACTCTCTGGCTGAAGAAGTTTCTCTTTATCTCCGTTCTAAAAGGTCTTCCCTTTACTCTAAGGCTATGCCCTCGTGTCCTAGTCTCTCCTACCAATGGAAGCATCTTCTCAACATCCATTTTGTCCAGGCCATTCAGTATTTTGTAAATTTCAATTAGATCCCCCTCTCATCCTTCTAAACTCCAATGAGTATAGTCCCAGAGTCCTCAAACGTTCCTCATATGTTAAGCTTTCCATTCCTGGGACCATTCTCGTGAACCTCGTGAACTGGCAATTAGGGAAGGGAAATAAATGCTGGCCTAGCTCATCCTGTGAATGAATAATATAAAAAAAACAGAGTTTGAAAGTATGGTTCTGGATAGAGGTTACAGATGGAGAAGCGAGGTCTTCAAACACGAGGCATTTTAATATTAAGTTGAAAGGTGCTTGGCGTGGGGCAGCAAAATTTCCAAATTGAAAATATAAACAAATATGCTCAGGCCCATCAGCATCAGTGCAGAGAAAAGACAGATCAAAGATTTCTATTTTCAGATGCTGTTTGATCTCCCTATTTCTATTACATTCCATTTTTACGTCTGCAATAAACTCAAATAGTCAAAATACATGTTTTTTTTTACAGAAACTAGTTCCACTAAGTTACACTAATATTTTCTTCTGTGTTACCTTAGCTCAAGGCATCTGGAAATTCTCCAGCATGGAGGATTAATGGAGGCATGTTGACCGAGATTCTTGAAAAGTGCTGCTGTAAGATGTATCACGAGTGTGACCAGCTAGCAGCTCATCATGCTGTATACACAAATCTTCTTTGTTAAATAATCAGCCTTTCTTTTTAAAACAGAGCCCCAATTTGTTCTTGGCTTAAATCAGGCCTGATGTAACCATTCAACTTTAAAAGGGGAATCAATCTTTTAGAGTGCAGTTGCTGTAACATGTTGCACCAGTGTGCCAATACACTGGTGTGCCAAGGTATCTATTAATATAATTTTGTAAGAAATAGGGGTAGGCCATTCGACCCTTTAGATCTGCTCCACCTTCAACAAGATCTTGGCTGATTCGTCCCAGTCTCAACTCCTCTTTCATGCCAACTCAACACACCCTTCGACTCCCTGATAGTTCAAAAATCTAACTCACTCCTCTTTAGATACTTTCAGTGATGGAAACTCCACAACTCTCTTGGGCAGAGACTTTTGGGGACACACTACTTTCTGGAAGAAGAAATTCCATCACATCTCTATTTTAACTGAGGGTCCACTCATTCTGTGACTGTGTCTCACTAATGGAAACATCTTCTCACTTTATTTATCACGTTACTTTTTGAATGCAAATCCTGAAGTCAACCTCCACACTTGTTGAAAGCGAAGTTATCGACCTGTAGAGGGGAAACTCCCCAGTAACGTGCAGCATTGTTTGTGTCGTTCCACAAGTACATGAACAGTTTGTACTGAGGTCCCAGTAGTGGAGCACAGGGGCCCTGGCTTGTCCTGAACCTGTTTAGCGGGGACCAGATAGGGCTCCTCACAAGGCACATATTAATGACTCCTGGTGTTGCCCATTCTTTAATTCAAACAATGTTTGCATTGAGTACCCGGGATATTTTCAGGTACAAGGCAACTATTCTCATATTCTCATGCCCCCTTCCATATCTCTATGATAGCAGCCAGATTCTCCCAATGGTGTTATTGGTGGATTACAGAAAATTATTGTCATTTTGAAAGAAAATTGCACATTTACTCTTTATTGGACGTCTTGGTCCCCACAGTCAGAAAGAGGACTTCTGAAGTTTCAGTGCAGTTGTGCAGAGCAACATCAAGTGTGTAATGACATCTAGTGGTAACTAGATCAGTCCAATAGTGACAGACGGACATTGAGGGGACACTGGTTTTAAATATCTGTGACTCCAAAAGACCTTTTGTGAAATGCAGCTATTCAGTGTAAAGAGATTTTGAGTCGACGGATGTTCAAGCTGGGCTGGCAATGGGGAAGATCTTTTACTTAATTTGTTGAAAGGGTGAGATACAGTGAAGCAAATTTTAGAAATGTGCACTTGTGCTTTGGATTACTTGCTTAAACTTTCCTTGTTTTGGCATTTGGAGCAGAGAAGGGGAAAGAAAACAGTTAGAAGGCTGTCTAAGAGATCTTTTCAAGCAGACCGAGTGAATGAGTTCTCAGACCATTCTCACCGTATGCTGCATTCTACAAACGTTCTTGTGGAGTCACAAATATTTAAAACAGGACCTTTTCAATGCACACCTATCACAAGTACACTGATCTAGTCACTACTGGATGACACTAGACTCTACAGGACAGCCTTGTGACTTCAGAGATCTGGATCAAGTCAATTTGGATCTACATACATAATCACATTCTGATCATTGGGCCTAAGTCACATGGTAACAAGTAAATATACAATTTCCCTTGAAAATGACAGAATAATATTAAACAATTCAGGGTAATGGTAATCCACAGGTAATACCTTTGGGAAGTTCTGGCTGCTATCATAAAGTTTCTCGCAGAAGCCTTCAAATAGTTGGCTTTGTATTAACAACAGCTGTCATATACTTCTATTTGTTGAACCATCTGAAAACACTGACTCTGTCCCAGGTTCCATAAATCCTGATGGTATCTCTCTGCTGGAACATGACAGCAAGCCGAAGAACACTACAGGAGCAGGAAGCTGATGGCTGAAAGTTGACTGGGGCTTTACTCACTTGATGAAGTCCTCTTTGCATTTCTGCAGCAATTCAACGGCTTTGGTGACTTCGTGCTCATTAAGCAGGATGAGTGTTCCGATCGTCAGGTGGAGCTTTGCTGGGTTCTGGAAAATACTGCCATCAATTCCATGATCCTAGAAGAGGAACAAACAGCTGAATATTCATATTATTCTATCCATCCAGGCAACACTATAAACTAGCATGGAGAAAAAGGTGAGGATCACTGCACGGAGAACAGCATGCATCAAAGAACCAAAATCAGAAATTACTGGAAAAGCTCAGCATCTGTGGAGAGAAATCAAAGTTAATGTTTCAGTTTGAGTGACCCTTCCTCAGAACTTGCTATTTACAGTATCCGCAGTTCTTTCGGTTTCTATTAGGTATCAAAGAATGACTGCAAAGCACAAAGGTACTCAAGGTTTCACGTGATTCTACAAAATTCAAGAGTCAGGCTGATCTGCATTTATGTCTGAAATGTCAGCTGTAATCACTCACGTTTCCCACATTACAACAATGACTACTCTTCACAAGTACTGCAATAGCTGTAAAGCACTTCGAAATATCTCTATGTGAGAGGCATCACATAAATACAAGTCTTTCTCTTTAGGATGCTCCTGGGTACAAATTCTTTGTTACACTGTAGAATTCATAGGTTGACTTAATTCAGTTCTTCATTTACGCAGGGAAGTGGTGACACAGAGGGAATGCTACTGGACTAGCAACCCAGGACCCTCAGGTTAATGACCTGGTGACATATGTTCAAATCCAATGCAACAGATGGTGAAGAGATAGTAAGAACTGCAACTTGAATTCAATTTGGGCAGCATGGTAGCTCAGTGGTTAGCACAAGTGCATCATAGCGCCAGTGACCCAGGTTCGATTCCACTCTCAGGTGACTGTCTGTGTGGAATTTGCACGGTCTCCCCGCATCTGCATGGATTTCCTCTGGGTGCTCCAGTTTCCTCGCCCAATCCAAAGATGTGCAGGTTAGGTAGAGTGGCCATTCTAAACTGCCCCCTAGTGTCCAGGGAAGTGTGGGTTAGCCGTGGTAAATGCAGGGTTACGGGGATAGGGTAGTGGGGTGGGTCTGGGAGGGATGCTCTTTGGAGGGTCGGTGCGGACCTGATGAGGCGAATGGCCTGCTTCTGCACTGTAGGGATTCTATGATCTGCTTACACTACAGCAGTTTTCACACTGATAGTGAACAGATTTTGTGGTGTTAAACTGCTGGAACTAATCACCTATAAAAAAATTATAGTCAATTACCTGGAGAAGATTGCATCAGCAAATTTCAGAAATATTTTAATCCCGCTCATAGCGTTCCACATTAGCACTGAAAGACCTGGAGTATGGACTGGAAGGCTTTTGTGCAGCAACAGCAATTGAACAGAACATACTGAAGCGACCCTCCAGGAGATGTTGCTATTGTTACTTTCCCAGGTAATAGGGAACATTTATTAAGTCTTCGAGCCCACAGTCATTTGCCATTGTGGCCTTGGACAGCGAGACCCAGACAATGTTTGAACCAACAAGAAAATGTCATATTGTTCCCTACTTTGTTTAGACCTAACTGTGTGACTACCTACTGTAAATACAAAAAGAGGGGCAAGAGAGGTGGGGGAGATGCAGGAGGAACAGAGGACCAGAAAACATGAACAGAAAGAAAAAACGAGCAAGTGAAAATCTGTTTGACTATACATAAAGGGTGCAAATTAAAACAGAGAGCTCATTTCCAAAACAGTGATATTTCTGAAGTTACGTCTCCTGTGAATACTTTACAATTATTTTGCCACCTGATCCCAATGACCTGATTCATAGCATCATAGAGTTGTACAGAACGGAAACAGACCCTTCAGTCCAACTCGCCCATGCCGACCAGATAACCTAAATTATTCTAGTCCCATATGCCAGCATTTGGTCCATACCCTCTAAACCCATCCCATTCATATACCCATCCAGATGTTTTGATCAATGATTCTCAATGTTTCTGCACAAGAGAGAATTTGAAACATTGATGCATCACTGTCATGATTTCTGAAAGATGGTTTCAGTTAGTCAGATTAAAATCCGTGTTCAAACTGTAGAAATGTATTAATTGAACAGAAACTATGTCAAATAACTCAAAATGATAACTCAAAAGGTGCAGATCTAACAGTCCAGACCTTTCAGGGATCCTTGTACATACCTGCCAGCTTGCCCTAGAGGTTGCTCATAGCTCTAAAGTACTCCAGTTTCCTTCACATGCGCAATTAGAATGCAGACAAGCAGACACAAGGAACACTAGTATGAAATGGAACCCCAAGCTACCTAATTGGTTCATTTCACTCCACACAATCTTAGCGCCAGGCCTCCTGTCATTTTGGTTTGCATGACATTAATGGAATGGCCTCAGGGAAGATTCAGATCAATTTTACATGCTGTAGCTTAGTTGAAATGCCTGCTTCATAAAAGGTTACAATCCTTCAAAGAAATCAAAAGATCGAATCGGTTCATTGCCTTGACTTTAATTAGCAACGTTGTTCTTTTTATCAAAAAAACCTTTGATCAGTTGAATTTCCATATTCGATGAACACTTTACATTTCTGCACATCTTTCTCAACATTCTTCAATATAATTATGAAATTGCCTATTGTTAATTAGCTATACTTGCAGATCACAACTGGTCTGGAAAACAGCTGTGACATATAATTATCCATCTTCCTCATCCCTAAAGGCCACTACTCAAGTACACTCAGTGTATAAATTTGATAAATGCAAGTTTACAAACTATTTGGGTGAGAGGGCAATTGATTCCGTGTTGTACATTTCATGCTCCAGGTCAATGGCTGGTTTTCCATCTAATCATAAGAATTAATTCCAACTCGAAGCAAGTTCTCAGACAGGACCAAATCAGACTGACACCTCAAATCAACACTACAGTTTTGGGGAGCTTACTGTCTGTAAATTGTGGTTAAGGAAATACAGCAGCCCAACAGCTTCAAAACTAAACACCAAATATTGCAAATAATGGAATGTTCTGATGAAAGGTCCGTGCACAGTAACCCTGAATTTGTTGGGTTAACCAAAATGAGAGAGAAAAAAATACAAGGACTACCCTATTGAAAGGTCAATTGCTCGGATGGTATCCTACTCATCAGAAACTCAGAGTCATTTCTTAATGTTTTCTGAAGAGATATGGGTGTTTAAATTGTGTGTTGTAACTCGGCAGGGTGATACAGTATGTCTGGCTGATATCCTGATTTAAAACAAATGCAATACGTGAGATGTGATGTACCATTTAGGTAGTAAAGCAAGGTGTGGTTGACCACAGGATCATGCTGTGTAAATCTCATTGTTTTGATTAGACAGCAAAAACTGCAACAACTGTGAGCAAGTTAGCCAAAGTGCGTTAGAACGAAGAAATAAGCGTCTTTCCAAGGAAAGCAAGCAAATGTCCGAATAGAATCACAGAATCCCTACAGTACAGAAGAGGCTATTCGGCCCATTGAGTTATTGCCTATCCTCCGAAGAGCATTCCACTCTATCCTTATACTCGTGCATTTACCATGGCTAGTTCACCTAGGTTGCAGATCCCTGGTCATTAAGGACAATTTAGCATGGCCAATCCACCTAACCTGCACATCTTTGGACAGTGGGTGGAAACCGGAGCACCCAGCAGAAACTCATGCAGACACAGGGAGAATGTGCAAACTCCACACGGTCACCACAGGCTGGAAGTGAACCCAGGTCCCTGGTGCTGTGAAGCAGCAGTGCTAACCATTGAGTCATCGTGCCACCCATGAGTGGAAGCTCACCCAATTGTAGAAGACAACATTCGTGATGTTTGTCAGTGGTCAAAGTGATCAGCTGCTGAAGACTGGACTATGTCAAGGGTGGATTATACAGGCTGCTTGTATGGGAAGGAGAAAGATACACTACAAAGATACTGCAAAAATAGTTATGCATCACAAGCTTACCTGTACGATACTTAATAGCTGCACAGACCAAGTTTTTTTTAAATTTAGTTACGGGATGTGGGTGTCATTGTTCAGGCCAGTTTGTGTGGAATGAGAAAGCACATCCCAGAACGATAGTTAATTAGCTCAGGAACAGGAGTCATGGGTTTAGCGACTGGAGCTAGCTAATCACCCGCTTTGGTCTGCTCCTCGGACAAAACCACATAAACCAATGGCTTGGTGATATTATTGCTAGACTATTAATTCAGAGATCCAGGTGACATTCTGAAGACCTGGTCAGGGTTAGAGTCCACCATGGCAGATGGTGACATTTGAATTCAATAAAAATCTGGAATAAAAGAATCTAATGATGGCCATGAACACATTGTTGATTGTCAGAAAACCCCATCTAGTTCACTAATGCCCTTTAGGGAATGAAATTGCTGTCCTTACCTGGTCCAACTTATCTGTGAATCCAGACTGACAGAAATGTAGTTGATTCTTAACTGTGCTATTAAGGATGGGCAATAAATGCTGACCCAGGCAGCGATGCCCACATCCCATGAACGAATAAAAGAAAACTGGACCAGCAGTGGTTGTGAAGTAATGTACATGTAAGCTTGTGACGTATAACTATTTTTCAGTGTACCTTGCTTCAATAAAGAACAATTATGTATAACCCGTTGTTAGGATTGCATTGGGTTATTGATATACAGAGTAAACCCGACAGGACTGGGAAGGCATTATTAAAAGCCTATAGGTCACAAACCTGAAACATTAACTCTATTTTTCTCTCTCCATACATGCTGCCTCACGTGCTACTTCTAGCATTTTCTATGTTTATTTCAGATTTCCAGTATCTACAGTATTTTATTTTTGATTCAAAAATACTTTATTGGCCACAAGCCACTGAGAGAAATCATGAGATCGATATCAGCGCAAGTTCTTTTCAAAGTACGTTCACCTACCTAGTATTCAAAAATGTTAGTCATTGAACCTGCCAGAGTTACTTTTCTCTTGAAGATATCCTTTAGCTTCATTTCCTATCCCACTTGCCTACGTATCCTGCATCGTAGCTAATGAAATGCCTTGTTGTCAGCCCTGGAAACATACCTGGGAGCACTCATCCAACACACGCTCTTTAAACTTCAAAAACTGTTCCTGAATAGTGGGTTGATTAACGGCAAAAGACAGGAAATGAGTGAAGGGTTGCTTTCTGCGGAAGCTCTCCAACATCACCTCGATTCGGGTCTGTGCTGATGCGACACCCACTCGCTGCTGCCCAGTGATAACTGGAAAAAGAAAACATTAGAATTGAAATAGAACAAGGAACTGTGGAAGTTGGAGATCTGAAGCAAAAGCAGAAATTGCTGGAGAAACTCCGCAATTCTGGCATCATCTGTGGGAAGAAAGCAGAGTTAATGTTTCAAGTCCGGTGACGCATCATCAGTTGTGAACCAATTCAGGCTCAGATTCAGAATTGACGACATGTTACTTGCTCAGTAATATTAACACACATACCTCACAACAGAAGTGAGCAGGGACGTTAAGCTAGCAGACAGATCAAAAGAGAAGCAGTGGCAAACATTTAAAGGGTATTTCAGGATAAATACAATACCATCATAAAGAAAAATTCTAAGAGGAGAACCCAAAATTCATGATTAACTCAAGAATTTAACAAAAGGATCAAATTTAAGGAAATGAAGAGGCAGTGGTAATCCAGAACCCCAAGATAATTTTCTAAGATTGATGGCTGTAGAATTTGAATTCAATAAAAATCTGTATTAAAAAACTAGTCTAATGGAGACCATGTAATCACTGTCGATTGTCAGAACAAAACATCTGGTTTATAAATGTCCTTTAGGGAAGGAAGTTTGCTTTCCTCTTCTGATTTGGAATACATGTGACTCCAGACCCACAGAAATGTGGATGACTCAGCTGTCATCTGGGCAATTACAGATGGGCTGAATATGCTGATTTGCCAGCCATGCCCACATTCCATGAACAAACGGAGAAAAAAAATTGCTGGATTTAATTACCAGAGGAGTTTAAATTTAAAATCAGGATGCAATGTTTCAGCTATACTGGGCACTGATGAGATGTCTTCTTGAATTCTCTATAAAATTTTGGTTTCTAATTAAGGAAGGATGTAAATACATTGGCTCAGAGAAGGTTTACTGGTTTAACATCTGGAATGAGGGCTTGTCTTACAATGAAAGATTGGATAGGCTTGGCTTATTTTCACAAAAGTGCAGAAAAGCAAGGGATGATTCAAGATCCTGAATAGTATTTACATAGTGGATGTGAACAGAATCTTGTGGGTGAATCCAGCAAAGACACCCTTTTAGGATGGGGAGGGGAAGAGAATTTTCTCTGAGGGTTAGATTTTCATGGTGAGGGATTTGTGAACAGCAAGTAAGGGAAGGTGGTTACTTCCTGGGATGCTTGTGGTATGAATGCTACTTGTCACTTATCAGTCCAGGCCTGAATGTTGCCCAAATCTTGTTGCACGCTGGATCAGAGCCCTTGATAAAGTGTGCTTAAAAAGATGTATGCATCCTTTCTCCAGTTTAATTTCACTGGCTAATAAAATTTTCCCCTTGGATTCCCACTGAATCTCACCAATCTCTCCCTCTATTCCAGGTTTAGGAATGGTTATGGAAGTTCGTGTCTCACTTTCCAGTCTTCGTTTGGTGTCCCCTTTCTTCCCAATTATGTATCTGTGGAAAAAGTAAAATGATGATTTTAATCACAAAAAAAAATGACTCTGCTCTGACTTCTGGCAAGAACGAATCTGTCAAAAGGTTTTGCCAGATCTAACATTTGGAAGCATCAATCCTCAGAAAGGTCAAATGTCTATAATTCATCTGTCAGGGAGTGACATGTTGAAATAACTCACTGGGCTAGCACATTGGAAATCAAGCTCTGCTTTTCCTGGAGCCATCACAAAACTTAAAAGATTTTATAAAAAATGCAAAATTCCACAATTTACTTGTCTGTTTAGATCCAGGGTGACAGAAAATGCAGTTCAGATATTTGTACTAAATAGGTAAATAATTATGAACTATCAACATATAACTCTACTAGTCAAGACCCTTACAAACGCCCTGCTCCACACACACACACACACACACACACACACACACACACACACACACAC